AGGTAAAGGTACAATCTTTCTTAAAAGACACAGTATTTCCTTCAGGACTTAACAATATTGAATTAAATTAGTCTAACTACCTAACTAATACATCACTAATAACTACTACGTACAATAAAAGAAATAATCAAAAACCTGCTTTTCAAGGAAGCCGTGTATAAAAGCAAAATAAAACTTACATAAGACTGCCATCAAAATCATAATTCCTCAACTAAGATTTAAATTCATCAAGAGAGGGTGATAAGGGGTATAAGGGGTAAAGGGGCATAAGGATATAAGGGGTATAAGAGTATAAAGGGTATAAGGATATAAGGGGTACAAGGGTATAGGGGTATAAGGGTATAAGGGTATAAGGGTATAAGGGTATAAGGGTACAAGGGTATAGGGGTATAAGGGTATAAGGGTATAAGGGTATAAGGGGTATAAGGGTATAAGGGCTACAAGGGTACAAGAGTATAGGGGTATAAAGTGTATAAGGGGTATAAGGGTATAAGGGGTATAAGGGTATACCTAATATGGAGCTCGGTTTGTAAAGGTAAAGGTAAATAGGGGCAGGTGCAGAAAGGGTAGGAAGCAGGAATTCTAATGGTAATTTTTGTACTTCATTAAGCATCCAAATACTTTCGAAAACAAGAACTCAAAATGATATTTGACTTGCATTTGGCATCTTTTGAGACTTCTGGGCTAACAAGCAAACAAAAATTTGTCCTTGGGCTAAAAAACTGAGGCTTCCTAATGGTAAAAATGGAAACCCTTATATCATAGGTCATGAAATGGATGATGTTTTGAGTCTCTATACAGAGGCGATTAGAGTAGGATGGACACGGGCAGGAGTAGGGGGATACAGCTATGGGAAGTGGGAGAGCAGGGTACATGAAGCGGGTGGTTCTGACCCCCTTTCACAGGAGCCATTCCTCAACCTTGATCTTTTTCACAGTACCATTTGGGTCATCATAGTTTCACATTGCAGGAGGTGCTGCAAAAATAGTACCACATTGACTAAAACCTTATTAATCACCTCAAAATGCAAAACATTAGAACCACACAGGATCAAAGGCAAGCACATTGAACGTCTATATAGGCAATAAGTTAGTTTTTATTTACAATATGAAATACACTCACAGCATAATAAAGCTCTGTGAATCAATACGAAACACACTGTTGAAAAAATAAGTTACAAAGATATCAATACCAGAATCATCAAGTCTTGATCTACAAGAGCACTAACTGTATTCTATAATTATTATAGAAGACAACTTTTGACATTTCAAGCATCATAGAGCTCTGACAGTAAAAAAATTAGAGCATGTGCTATAGCTTAGTAAATTGAATTGCTAATGAAAGTTATGTATTAAACAAGAAAGCAACTCCTGAACCAAAACTCAGTGAAAAGAACATAGCAGTGTGTAATTAAAAACCATCATCTACAATGTAATAAAATATTATATATCTATTTTTTATTTGGTAAATATAAATAACTTGTTGATCGCAGATTGTAGCAGTATATTTTTGAACACTTTTTCTACTGGTCATAATTTTGTTGTGACAAGTGATGCAATTGAATGAAAAGGGAGCAAAATTAGAGTAATTATTATCACAAGTCAAGGATAATAATTATACACTTTGCTTTCTCTTTTCGTTATTTCAGCTTGTTCTCTTCACTATTTGTTCTTATAAATCATCCAAGTAGAATTACAATAATTAGTTTTAAACATAACCAAACCAGATACTAAATAGTATTTATTAACTGAAAATAAATATTGCCATGAAAAGATATTAACAGACATTAATATTATATTAAATTATTTTTGTACTTAGGATACCCAACAGTTCATTCCACAATATAATTAGTTACCTACTTATTCCAACAAAATAATATTAATAACTTTAATTACTTATTATAAATAGCTGGTAATATTAGAATTTGGTTCAAAAAAGAACAGAACCCACAACATATGAGACAAATTTTTATCATCTATCAAAGTACATGTGAGCTAACATTAAATAAACCAAAACAATTTGAACAAACAAGAAAAACACATTGACTCAAGAAAAATGTTCTGTTTTACTGTGGTTTGCCAAAATTATTTGCAAGTCAGAGCTCTCTTTTCAAAATCTTTAGTCTCTGACAAGATACATACTGTGTTATGAACTGATCAAAATGGCTTCAGTACTAATGTGAGGTACAAAGCAACATTTATCTTTTTTATATTAACCACATTATTTTGTAAAAAAAGAAAATATAATGTTAAAAAAAAGTTCTTGGTGTGAAGCAAGCCAGATGCATAATACTTATTATATAAAACTGTTTTCATGTGATCATGTTTCATTTGCGACAGAAGAAAGTTTTGGAAGTAACCTGCCTCTTACATAAGCTTAGTGACTGGGTTAAGCTTACTGAGTGAGAAGGCAGGTTGGGCAGGGAAATACTTGGTTTCAGGTCAGAACACACTGTGAAGACTGTGGAAAATAACAAGGAGGCAAATATTTTCCTTCCTGACCTGACTCATTCAAAAGCATAAATCATTTCAACATCACCAGAGTTTGACTGTTTTTTAAAAGTAGTAAATGTGTCATAGTGAATGTCCTCAATTGTGTGCATTAAACAAATTCATTTGCCAACAAAAGCAGGGCCAGATAGCTACTTTTTTAGAACGGCTAATGTCATCCTCTTTGGACCTGATGTCAGCTACTGTTATTGAAAATATAAAGCATGGCCATGAATGTGTTATCACTGACAATTTTTTATCTCAAGACAATGGTATCCTGCTTCCAGTACACTAGTATTGTACTTTGTTTGACTTTCCTGCATAAAAGTACTTTTTCTGCATACAAGCAATTTCAATTCTTATATCAAAACTATTTTCATTCTCCAGCTAAACCTTGCCATTATAACATTAATACTATAAATCAGCTTAGTTAGCAGTGGACAGACTCTTTATATTCAACTGACTACATTTGCAAACAAATATTCTGAAATTAAAAATACCACGCTGCAGTTGGAATGACAATTTATTATTTATTTATTAAAATATGTTAGAATGAAAAATAATAAAAAAATACTAGTATGAATTTGTTGCAGCTGATAATTTTTACCAAAAAACCTAGTGTGATACCCCACTGAAGGGCTATGAACATAACATTCAATATGAGACAGTCATAACTTGTACCTTAACTGAAACTGTTCAATGTAACAACAACAGTACTGTGACAAGATCTTGAGTGAGCCAGGATGGTCTTTTCCACAATGAAACTCATATGAATGTATAGCAGTGACCCTTAAAACTTATTGGAGAGAGCTAAATTACAAAATATCATTTTCAGTGAAGTGGTTTTAACTTTGTTTTTCATGAAAGTAACAAGCTCATAGGTCTATGTAACTAATACTGTAATGTCACTAAGCATTAAATATCTTTTTGTTCTGCTGTCTCTATCAAAATAGTCAAGAATCAATTGAAAAATATATTATTTAACTACTGGTAATTACTTTTGTGTGATTACAAGAGCACAGCAACACCTAACACAGACATCTGTTGTCACTACCATTGTTCTGAAAGAGTAAACCAGCTTGCCACCGACGGCAATAAAAAGGAAGACGCGATGACAGAAATTTATCACAAGGAAAATGGGACCCCCTGTCATGCATTTCTGTTCATAGAGAAAATTATTTTCTGTGCCAATGTTGTTTTCGTGTATTGGATTAAATTTTGTCTTACAAAAGTGGAGAAAAACTACACTTTCCAAATCCGACATGATAATATTTAATATTGTTAGATACAAGGCTTGAAATATTAATGCAAAGTAGAGGATAAAGAATGTCAATGATTTTTATCGTGAGTGCAAATTGTTAACTGCTTTGAAGAGGAAAACACTTAGATTTTGAAAGATTTTAAGAGAGAAAAATTCATCATATAGAGGCAAGATCCTCAGTTAAGTCTATAAACACTGTATTACATAAAAAAGTCGTGTTTCAGACTGCATGCAAGCTTCACTCACACTGAAGAGAAAATCCTGTCATATAAAAATAGTAACACAAGCCTTAGCTTCCTGTCTTGCTTGGGAATTTCTAGCGATGCAAGTCACCTGCTACCATTTGCATCTCATAAATAGCTGCCTAAGTTTTCTTAGCCTTATGGTTGTTATAGGCAGCCAATACCATTTTATAAGCTTCAAATTATTGTACTCTGCTTTCCTTTTTTGATATAAATAAATGCTGTTGTTGTTGAAATCAAATCTCTGAACTAAGAAAGGACCTGCAGATATCATAAATTACAGTATCTTTTGTATTGAGCAGGGGTATTCACACATTATAATGTGGTGTTCCAGAAAATATCCTAACCCACTCTTACAGAAATTCCAGTTTAGATTTATACTGCACTTTAAATTGAACATTTTGGCCTTTAAGAACCTGCACCAATTCAAAATTTCAATGACCTTCAGTGTTGTGGGTATGGAATTGGATATTTCCTGATATTTTCCCTTTTTTCCAAAACCATTTTTAGTTTATGAACACGGAGTTTATATCAACTTGTTTTCAAGTGTGAAAAAACTAGCTGGAGGTTTCTGAATGCATACTTTTCAAGCACTATACTTTAACCCCTACATAACTCTAAATACCTCTGTTTGTAATGTGACACTTGAAACGTGCATCAAAATGCTTACAATAGGAGGTAGGTCTAACGATTCTTGGTCAGTGTGACCCTGTGCCATCTCATGTTGTCTCTCCTAGGGGAATCCCCAATCACACCAGGGTGAGTGCACTATTGAACATTTTGCAGGCTGTGTTGCTTCAGGATAACAAGCAGTAGAATTTTTCCAAATTCTTGTAGTAATTATTGTACTTTCAAACCTCTTGTGTTGTTCTTTAAAACACAGACTTGGCACAGTGCTTGGATTTAAACTCCACGACATCACATCACCACAGAGCTTGGATTCCACTTGGATCATCTGTTGATTGAGCTTTCAATCTTTTTAATAGTTGTTTTGTCCAAACTGCACAAGTCAAACTCCAGTGTTGTTTCTGTGAGTTCAAAGCGACCTGTCGTTTCTAAAATATCAGCTATTCTCTGTAGTAGATTAGAGTCTTTCAGTGCTACAAGACGCTTGTACAGTTGAATTAGATTTTCTGAAGAAGAATTCCGCTGTCCATTACTAGCTTGCGTACTGTCTTTGAGTTTTGGTTTTGGGCTGCAAGATAGAAATACCAGCAGTGTCAGGGTCTGTTAGCAAGTATGGTACATTATATGAGGGGCACGTAAACATTGCTCTTGGAAGAGTGAAAATAGAAGACCGGAACCCCTACATGTAAGTGAAAACGTCACCTTGATACATGAAAAATTCACGATAATTTCCATTGAGAAACTATTTCAAAACTTAAAATTGCAAGATGAGCAAAAAATTGGGGTGAAAAACTGGATTAATTTAAAAATCCAAGTATACTTCTTCACATTTGTCCATAAATTGCCACATTGGCTAGTAATAATTTAGTGGGGGCAAGTCAAAAGTAAAATTTGCTGACTCACTGGGCACGCGGATTTGAAATTATTTTCCTGCAATGCATGACGTGTGACTTGACTTCAGCTTAGCTTAGCTTACCTTTGCTTCAAGGACTTGGGACTTTTCAATCCATTTTTTCTTTTATTTTTTACAGCCTCTGATTTCTTAGCTTGAGAGCTGCTTTTCGTTCTACCTTTGTTGCTACTGTCTTTGTTCTGTAAAGTACTGTTTGGAGAGTTGACAGCATCAGCAATTGGCTTCTGTGTTGTGACTGATGGCTGTATTGATCTAGACTGAAATGGGGTACAAACGTCAACCTCATTACCATCATCATCATCATCGTCCTCTTCACTCATTTCTGCTATTAGCTTATCTAAAGCCATGTTCTTATTGCTGCCAGAATTCCCTAACAGACTTGAACTAGAGGTACTACTTGACCAGCTGTCACCTGAGCCACGCCGCCGAAAAGTAATCTTTTCCACTTTCTTCTCCTCCTGTTTAGCTTGTTGTTTCAAATCATTCATAGGAGATTTTTGCTTACTTTTCTTAGCAGATGTGGACTCTCTTCGCTTTGATGCATTTGATACATTTTCACCTGATCCAACCTCTGAAGATGCTCGCCTGTTTTTCTTTTTGTCATTTGCGGGACTTTTTGATGACAGTGATTTAATTTTTAACTTAACATCTTTCACTTCATCCAGTTTTTCTTTATGTTCATTGCCAGCAACAGGCAGCTCCAATGGAATAAATCCAAGAGGTTTGTTTGACTTTCCAGAAGCTTCATCAGGTTTCTTTTTTTTCTTTTTCACTTGCTGCATGTCTTCTGTTCCTGATGTACTTGATGATCTTTTAAGTCCTGGTGTTACAGACTCTTGCATTTTAACAGTCTTGTTAGCTACTACTGCCTCATGTTTACCTTTTTTGTTCTTGTCAGAATCTGTCGTTGGTGTCGACAGTTGCAGAGTTGGATGCAAATCAGTGATGTTACTTGCTGTTTTCCCATCTTTTGAGTCGGCACTCTGTTGAGCTGCTGATCCATTAACAGGCAAAGAAGAACTGAAAAAAACAAACTTGTAAACAAACGAACTTCAGACTTCAAAAGCATTTTGCTTGATTTACTGAACTTATTTATTTACTTATTTGTGTAATTACTTTTGTGTCCTTTGTTCTAGTCATCCCTTTCCTTTTCTTACAAAGTGTAACCTGAAGAAAAAGTTCTACAGTTGAACCTCCACTAACAGCCACCTCTTTACAATGGCCGCTTTTTTGTTCCGGTGGATAGCCATACGGCCACTCTTATTTTAACCTCTCTACAACGGCTGCCTTGCCACAATGGCAACGGTCAATAAAACACATCTCAACTGCCAAAATAACCTCTCAAAAGCGGCCCGTTAATCAACAACAGACAAACGGTTCAAACAAAACCCCAAAAGGTGATGAAAACTGGTGAATACCGCACGTCAGTGTCTCTGTTTGTTAGGTTTCTGTTCTATCAATATATGTTTTGATTTTGTCACGTATTTACATGCCTCACAAAAATATAAGTGTCATATTTACACCTCTACCTCACCATAACAGCCACCTCTTTACAATGGTCACTTTCCTCTGTCCCCACAGTGGCTGTTGTTGAGAGGTTCAACTGCTCAAGCATTTAGCGCTGCGTACTTTACCTGTGAAATCCATTTACAGTCCCTGTGCTTGTAACAATTCCTCCACCTCTCACAAGTTTTTTCCTGAACTCCTCTGTTGGATTGGTAAAGGTAAGGGCTTCACTTCGAATGTTATCAATAGGCGGGGAGCCACAGGCAGGCAAAACAAGATCATAGTCGAACATCAATTTCCTTGGCTCCTCTTTGTTTTTGAAGAAGACTTCAACTGGAAGGAAGAAGCTTCCATAACCAGCCTCAGCAACTGTATAGGGAGGATCCTTTAGAACTAGAAATATAAAATGAAATGAGTCCTGTATAAAAAATTAACACTGATTGGACTGTAGTACTGTACTGGCTTACATAGTGTGCAGGGGATGAGTTCTCCTAAATGGCTGGTACATTGCTCTATGAACTGAACTCTCTATGTTGAGCTGTTGACTACATGATCATGTTGTGTTTAGACATAGGACTTAAATTTTTTTGTTAACACCTCTTTCTATCCACTGTTATACCCACTTCTTTAGGTCCCTTGCCTGATATATCAAGCCCCTCCACTCAAAACCATTTCATAAGGCAACTGGTATGTATCTATCCAACACATGTTTAAGAAAACACAATCACAGATGTACTGATTACTAAGAAAGATTAGCAGTAGTCAAAGTAGTAATTAGTAGTAATCAAAGATTACTAGTGTATTTGACGTCGTCACTTTAATATATATACCTTAAATGATTTCACCAGCTGACTTTCAACCTCTGCCTTTTGTTAAAATCAACATTTTTCATCAACAACTGAGGTTTACTTAACAAATAAAGAAGCCTAAGCCCTGTATTACACTGATAAAACACTACAGGCTTTTGAGAACACGGTGGAAATGTAGAAAAACGAGCCGCAGACGAGTGTTTTCTACATTTTATTTTCTTGAGTGTTGTCAACTGTCCGGAGTGTTTCATCACAGTGTAATAAATGGCTTACAATAGGCTTTTTCATTTGCTTTGTGATATAGAGTTAATGCAGCAAAAAACAATAAAACACACTTTTTCTATGCTTTATACTCTGATAAAACATGGGTTTTTGACCAATCAGAGCATGAGGCAGGGTACTATCTATATTACAACGACAGATATATCATAGTGTCAAGGTCCGTGCCAGTGAAGATGTCCCCTGTATAAACTACGATTTGCTAATATGTGTGACAACACCAGTTTCCATAGACTCACAAAAATATTTACAAATTTTGTGCATTAATTGAAAATTCAATAGTCTGGCAATAAATATTCCCGAAATCACCAGATAAAAGAGAGATAAAAGTTGACAATAAGACCCTTGACCCCAAATCTGAGACGTGAGGAATTCTTCAGAAGTAATGGAATTACCAAAAAAATAAGCCCATTGGCTTCAAAAAAATAAGCCCATTGGCTTCTATTAGAAGCCAATGGGCTTATTTTTTTGGTAATTCCATTACTTCTGAAGAATTCCTCACGTCTCAGATTTGGGGTCAAGGGTCTTATTGTCAACTTTTATCTCTTTTTTATCTGGTGATTTCGGGAATATTTATTGCCAGACTATTGAATTTTCAATTAATGCACAAAATTTGTAAATATTTTTGTGAGTCTATGGAAACTGGTGTTGTCACACATATTAGCAAATCGTAGTTTATACAGGGGACATCTTCACTGGCACGGACCTTGACACTATGATATATCTGTCGTTGTAATATAGATAGTACCCTGCCTCATGCTCTGATTGGTCAAAAACCCATGTTTTATCAGAGTATAAAGCATAGAAAAAGTGTGTTTTATTGTTTTTTGCTGCATTAACTCTATATCACAAAGCAAATGAAAAAGCCTATTGTAAGCCATTTATTACACTGTGATGAAACACTCCGGACAGTTGACAACACTCAAGAAAATAAAATGTAGAAAACACTCGTCTGCGGCTCGTTTTTCTACATTTCCACCGTGTTCTCAAAAGCCTGTAGTGTTTTATCAGTGTAATACAGGGCTTAGGCTTCTTTATTTGTTAAGTAAACCTCAGTTGTTGATGAAAAATGTTGATTTTAACAAAAGGCAGAGGTTGAAAGTCAGCTGGTGAAATCATTTAAGGTATATATATTAAAGTGACGACGTCAAATACACTAGTAATCTTTGATTACTACTAATTACTACTTTGACTACTGCTAATCTTTCTTAGTAATCAGTACATCTGTGATTGTGTTTTCTTAAACATGTGTTGGATAGATACATACCAGTTGCCTTATGAAATGGTTTTGAGTGGAGGGGCTTGATATATCAGGCAAGGGACCTAAAGAAGTGGGTATAACAGTGGATAGAAAGAGGTGTTAACAAAAAAATTTAAGTCCTATGTCTAAACACAACATGATCATGTAGTCAACAGTTCAACATAGAGAGTTCAGTTCATAGAGCAATGTACCAGCCATTTAGGAGAACTCATCCCCTGCACACTATGTAAGCCAGTACAGTACTACAGTCCAATCAGTGTTAATTTTTTATACAGGACTCATTTCATTTTATATTTCTAGTTCTAAAGGATCCTCCCTATACAGTTGCTGAGGCTGGTTATGGAAGCTTCTTCCTTCCAGTTGAAGTCTTCTTCAAAAACAAAGAGGAGCCAAGGAAATTGATGTTCGACTATGATCTTGTTTTGCCTGCCTGTGGCTCCCCGCCTATTGATAACATTCGAAGTGAAGCCCTTACCTTTACCAATCCAACAGAGGAGTTCAGGAAAAAACTTGTGAGAGGTGGAGGAATTGTTACAAGCACAGGGACTGTAAATGGATTTCACAGGTAAAGTACGCAGCGCTAAATGCTTGAGCAGTTGAACCTCTCAACAACAGCCACTGTGGGGACAGAGGAAAGTGACCATTGTAAAGAGGTGGCTGTTATGGTGAGGTAGAGGTGTAAATATGACACTTATATTTTTGTGAGGCATGTAAATACGTGACAAAATCAAAACATATATTGATAGAACAGAAACCTAACAAACAGAGACAC